CTTATCATCAAGGTTTTTCAATTGTAGGCTGCGCAGTGGTTTAACAACGCTGCTACCAGTAACCTCCAAGAAATAATGTTTCTTAAAAACTCATCATGACGTGATTTAATTTTAATTGGATCTTCTATATACATATCTCCAGAGACATATCTAACTGTACAAACATTTTAATGTTGCCGTAACAATCAATGAAAATTGTTGATGCGATTATATGACGGTATCATTAGTATATCATCATTAGTGTATCATCATTAGTGTATGGTCAATAAGAAACAAAGAATTATAAAATATCTTTAGCTGTAAATGGCATAAAAATACTAACTCATTTACCTGTAAATTGCTTAATTCTTCTTTACTGCTGTTTTTTTTTTTTAAATATTTATTATCTCTTCTAAATATTATTTGTTAATTGGTTTCATTATGTTTTTAATTTTCCTTATTAATTGAATTTAAAAACTTATGTTTTAAAAAAGTTATGTTTTTCTATTATAATGTAAAGTAACTATATGATTTGACCTTAATATTACGCGCTTTATGATAAACATATTTATTTAACGTTTCACAATTATCTAGCAGTAAATTTCTTTTATTTACGTATTGTTGACATCATGCTAGATAATTAGAAGGCGGTATTTTATGTAAAGCTTAAAAAAAATTGACAAGTTATTAGCACCATGTTTGAAAAATTACAGAAGCAAATATGAAAATGTCTCTAATATAGATGCTTTTCCAATATGGTATATATTTACAATTAATAGTGAATTGTGCATATTTTGTCATGTTTTTTTTCTTCTCAATTTAACTCTTATGATTATTTTAGAATTTGTCACTAAGTTAAACTTGTTGCTACAAAAAAAAAATCTACATATATTAATGCTAAGTGCAATACCTCTGTAGGGTATCTACCACTACAAAGTTACAATTACAATTCACTAGTATATAACACGTGCTAACACCATTTTATGGTGGGGTGCCTTTTCATAGATGACGGTTGACATTGTCATGACAACTATCCCCACATTGGTGATCTTCGAACGTTATTTGAACACGTCTACTTTTGCAGTAACGCCCACTTTGATATGAACACGCATACTTTGCAGTAACGCCCACTTCGATATGAACACGCCTACTTCTGTAGTAACGCTCACTTCGATGTATGGTCCACATGGAGCAGTTGACTTGTGACTGCGATATTATTCACCTCCTCGCACTGTTGCTACTCAGTCTCGTTTCGATCACGCACAACGTCGGCTTGCATACACGCGACTGCAAACGGCAACACAGGAGCGACTACGACCGTGAAGTTAATACACCTCTCACACTCAGCACTAAAAAATTACGGTGATCTTAATACAGCTCTCCCAGCTTCTCACAAAAAAAGCTGCAATGAATCAACTAGCGGTATCCGTTCATCAAATTCTATCACAGATATAATTCTGGTGGGGGAGTACTGTAGGGTCTCTACCGCTACAAAGTTGCAATTGCAATTCACTAGTATATAAAACGTGTTAACTCGATTCTATAGTGGGGTACCTTTTCATAGATGACGGTTGACATTGTCGATAACTAGTCTCCCACACCTCTTTTAACCTTGTCTTAAATTAAAATAGAATACCTTGTATGGGAATTCTATTTTAACTTAGAAGAATACACAAGTTACTCATGATGAAATGAAGAAAATTCAGAGGAATCCGTAGCCATGATAAAACTTTTCATAAACGAATTAATTTTTTTTTTAAAAAGAAGAGAAGAAAGTAACAGGGATTACAAAAAATTTAAGTGAATTAGGTGGTACATAGTCTATATTTTAACCCGATATTTTGGTAAAAAATTTGATAACTCTTTCCTGCAGATTTTCTCTAGAATAAAAAAAAATCTCTGATACTTTGAGAAAAATATTTTTAAAATGAGGGCAAAACACTCTCATCTTCTTTTAAATATTTGTTTCTTAGAAAATCCTAAGAGTATTATGATTGGGGTATCTAAGCACATATTTGCTTATCTAAACTAGGAAGAAGCTTTTAGCTTTGTATCCGTCCCAACAATGTCCAGTTCAACTAAAAAATTGAGGTATTAGGAAAATTGAGGTATTTGATCCAAGAAAAGGATTAAAGCTCGAATAATTTAACATAAAAAACTTTAAAGTGAATGATAAATTGCGGAAACAATTATACTTACAGAAAAGTGCTTTATCCTTCCTCGGTTATTTTAAATGCAGATCAAATTAATTGCGAAAAGCTTACGAACGAATCATTCCACTGTGAGACATTTCTCGGAAAAAATGGTTAAATAACAATTTATTTAATTGTTACTTTATCATAGTCACGCAAAACTAAAAATAACTGTAAATAGGATGGTATTCTAACTGTTAACTGTAAGAAAAACCTTTTATTAACTGCTTTAATCTTATATTGCTAAATATACGTAATTTTATTGCATCAACTAAACTCACCCAATAAAGCCATTTAGTTCCTTGCAGCTGCGTAGATATTATAGCCGGGGAAAATAATCAGTCAATCTCATCACCAACACTGTTAGAATTTTCATTCTAAATTTATGGTAAAATAACCGGCAGCAGTCTGTCCATCCGATTAACCGTAAAGTATACGGCAAAAGAATATTTTTAACCTTTACGGTTTTGAAACCGTTTACATCTAGTATGGTTATAAAATCATGAATACAAAACTATACGGTTTCTTAACCATTTACAACTACCGTGGTGTCAAAACCGTAAAAAAAAGACATTTAACTGGACATTAGAGCTAGACTTGCCATTTATTAATGGACAGTGGAGAGTCCAGGACACTGAAAATTCTTCATGTGTGTTAAAGGGAATGGAGGTGTCAACGCCGGGACTCGAACCCCGTTCTGTCAGACGTGAGATTGACAGATTAGCTCTCTCGGCTGTAATATGTACGCGGTTGCAAGGAACTAAGTTGCTTCATTAGGTGGGCTTAGTTGGTGCAGTAAAATTATTGTTATTTAACCGTTTCAGGTAAAAAATAGCTTATAAGTGATTTTTCTTGCTGTTAATAGTTTCATTACCATCTTATTTATGGTTATTTGACTGTTTTGTTTAAATATGGTAAAATAACAATTAAATAGATAGTTATTTAGCCATTTTTTCCGAGAAATTTCTAACAGTGTACAGGGTTTCGAATCCCAGCGTTGGCACGACAATATTTCATCCATCCTCTCAAAACATGAAAAGTTTCCAGTGTCCCGCACTCCCCGATTTGTAACCATGGTCTATTAGAATACAATACTTTCATTCACGCTTAGATAGCAGCACCATAAGGTTGCTAAACTATCACCAATGCCTTATTAAATTTTTTCCTTATGGTTTTGAAACCATGTTAGTTGTAAATGGTAAAAAATTGTACAGTTTTCTATTCATGTTTTTTTTTAACCATACTAGTTGTGGATGGTTTCAGAACCACAAATGTTAAAAATGCTCTTTACCGTAAACTTTACGGTTAATTGAATGGATTGTTGACGGTTATTTTGCCATAATTTTAGAAGGAAAATTCTAACAGGGTGGGAAAATAAATGTCAGAAAAAAAACGTTTTGGGTAATTGAGAAAATTAAAGGTAACGAAAGCTCTTTTAAAAAACAAGACTTTAAATGACATTTCCGGGTTGCAAAATTTGTTACTTCTTTAAAAAAAAAAAAAATCAGAAATTTGGCCATTTTTTAAAAAAATAATTCTATAGATGTTAATGTATCATTTATGTTAATGTAAAACCAGTTATTCGTATGCTAATGTAAAACCAGTATCATTTTGAAAACACGATTATAAATACGCATCATTTTTAAAGTAATGAAAAATATATATCCCATTGAAAAAAAACTTTGGAAAATGCAGATGTTCTTGTATATGAGTTTTAGAGCAAAAACAGAAGTTAAAAAGTATATTTTATTTTATTTGCGTTTGTGTCTGTCTCTGAGAGATCCATTCTAGATAGAGCTCTGTGGCTTAATTCAAATTCAATAAATTCAAGAGAATTAATTAAGATTAATTCAAGTTCTGAGCAGTTTTTGGTCATTACAAGATGTCTTGTTCACTATATCATTATTAAATAAATTTTCCAGTTTTCATTTCACTTAAAAAACGCGTTTTTTATTATTAAATAGTCATTTCAAATTCTATACATCTATATCCATAAAAAAGCAAGCTTAATTTTCATATATTGATCAAATAATAATAATGTCATCATCATTATAGTTGGCCAGACAGCCCAATGTGAGCCAATGCCTTCCTCTGAAGATTTCTTCATGACGACCTCGGATTCACCTTTGATATCCAATTCTTTTCATAATAATAATGTAAGAAGTGCAAAAAAATCTTTTGTTTACATTCCCTGATAAATGATTCCAGTTAAAAATCTAAATATTTTTAATTTATATTACGTTTCATTGAACTAATTATAAATAAAAAAAAAACAAATGAAAAGGAATAAAGTTTGTTTAATTAGATATTTTTCCGTTACTTAAAAAGATTCTAATACAATAATAAATTACAATTAAAATCTCAGACTACAAATTCTCTGTACAAACAATTAAATCAAAATAATTTTTAGTTTCATATTGTTTTGCTTAAAAGATATTTATATTTAAATAAACTTCAGTGTTAAATTTATTTTCAAGTGATTTATTTAAATCTGTTAACTTTTACTTCGTGAAATAAAAGACATTGTGAAATAAAAGACAATAAAACTGAATTAGTTTTAAAACCAATAAAATTGTTACTTATTGTTAAACATTGTTTTAAAATATGAGCAATATTAAATGAAATACAAATACCCAACGAAATCTACGATACACTAAAAAAGAATTGGGACATAAATCATAAGTGTATATTATCACACTTTGATCGTAATGGCTTTTCCGTGTGATGTTGAAAAAAAGAAAGTTAACCAGTTATTAAATATGACATTGTATAAAATATACAATGTGACATTTAAAGAGAGAATGGGAAAAGATTTTTTGGTCAAAACATATTTATTTTTCATTTCTAGTTACTTAAATCTGAATATTTTGTTTGCAAAGCTGCTTCAGTTTAATTAGGCAAAAATATGGTTGGGAAAAAAAATTTCTTCACAATAGATGGCAATTTCACAACGACGACCTAATTGGAAAGGTAAGAAATAATTATTTGTCTGATATATTTGAAATGTTATAGTTTGCACTACATTTAAAAGTTTTGCAGCATTTTTGTTAAAAAGAAATGCTTAATTTAATTTATTTATTTTACTATCAGTTATTATGTTGATTGATTGTTGTTAACTGTTATTTTTAAAAGTACTTGATTTTAGTTTATTTGGGTGTGTGGAAATTAGTTTTTTCGGAAAGCTGCAGATTTTCAAAAACAATATCTTTACTTTTGTTCATTTTTGTCTGAATGTACCGTTTAAAAAGAGCAGATTGGTTTAAAAATGTGCACATACCCTTTTCTGCTGCTTTAGAAATAACACTTAAGGCAAAAAGAAACGTATGATCCTAACGTATCACATCAGAATGTATTATGGCCATTTTCACATCACTCCTTACGTAGCAGAGAAGGAGGAGAGGTACTGAGTATTCACTGGAATGAATTTTAAAAAGGCCTGGTTAGGAATATATTATATAATTGCGTAAAAACTGCAGCTTGTAGAGAGAAACTGATTGCTGATTGGAAATCAGTGACTCAAAAATATCTAAGAATCATTCAGAAATATCATGTAACAGAAAACAAAAATATTGTTCCCAAGTGTTACTTTTTGCTTACAGTAATTATTTTTCTATAATTAGAAGTATTGTTAATGCCACCTAAATCAGGAGATTTATATTAAATGCTTATAATCATTTACTCTATTCATCTTTCTAGGGAATTACTTTTTTTATGAAACATGTTGTACATTTCCTACTATACCCTAGACATGACTTAATATTTAAAAATAAAAATTATATATAAACTAAAATGGATTACCATGTTTTAAATATTTATTTATTTGCATACTTGACTTTTAAAAATCATTTTAATTTCTTCATTTGGTGAATCAAGCAATATGAAGTTATAAAATCATTAAACATTTTTACAATTCCATCAACAACTTATTCAAAATACATAAAATCAATTTTTTTGACTACTTCCTCTTTAAAAACATTGACAATTGAAGATATCATCTAAATCCAGGTATTTATGCTTATCGACAACAAACTTCAACTTTATGAATTGTTTTTAATTTAAATGCAAACAAATTACTTTTTAAGGGGATATATTTTTGCATGCCTATACATATTACCACAGACTGAAAGTGCAAACGAAAGCTAATGTTGATTGCCATAATTTGCGTTTTGTAAACTTGATTTTTTAAAATTGTTTTACTTGCACAAGTCAGTTAATCAAGAAATTGGAAATTATAAAAATTTTATACTATTACCTCTATAGCTAAATTAAATGATAAAAAATCATCTAAATGTCAGTCTTTCTCTCAATACTTTCTTTTTAACAGTATTGATAATTAATAAAGTCACCTGAATCAGGAGATTAATATTTAATCTTCGCAACCTTGGACTTGTTCACATTTTTTAATTTAAATTCAAACGAATTACCTTTTTTCTGAGACATGTTTTTACATTGCCAACATTATAGAAGATTAAACATAATGTAAAAGAGTGAAAGAGAAAATCTATAACAGAATATTGTGCAGAAACTGAATTAAATCATCCATTATTTTTGCTTTTCTCTATCAAGAATCATTTCAATTGTTCATCTTAGAAATCAAATCAATATGAATTTACGAATATGTTAACTATAACCTGACATAACTATAGGGGCTATATATTTAACAGATTTCGATATTTTGGTGGTTAGAAATTCAAATCTGTCAAAAAACAATATGTTTATTTATAGGAAGTACGTTTCTGTGTCTGTTTGAAGAACTTGAAATATCGTCTGCGCTAATTAATTAAAATATTTGAGTCACCTTCTTGGACCATGAAGATAGAGTCCTAAAACGTCTCAGTGTGGTCGATTTTTTAATTTTGCTTAATGTACATATTTTTCACTTTCAATAAATCTTTGAAAAATTAAAAATTGCCAAAGCATGCCAGTTTTGAGTTACATTAAAATTAATTGTACTACTTCATTGTCAAACTTGTTGTTTTTCAAATACTCAAAAGTAAGTAAAGTCAGATATGAATATACTGAAATAAAAAAGCTGAAAGCGGCAGAAACAAGTACAGATTGGCAAGCAATTTTAGTTGTAAGTTGTTCTTTTCATTTGTTAATGTTTAATTCTATAATTTGGTGATATTTAGTTGTGATATCACTAACCAGAGCTTCATGAAATAAAAACTCGTTCAAGTAAAAAAATTACCAAAATAGAAATAAAAGAATAAATAAATATATAAATAGTACAATCAATTCTGTATTAATGTAGTGCAATTCAAAGCATCATAACACGTAAATTCATCTTGTCGTAAAGCAACATATCTAGGCTTCTAAAGCATTTCATTATTTTATTTTCAGAGTGAATTCAAAAATGGCGCGCAAGGCTTGGAAATTATTTTCACTTATCATCGCATTCAGCATAATTATCGACTCTTCAAGTGGATCTCGTAGGAAAAACTTAAAAAGATTAGCAACAGCTAATAATGATCTAGGACTCAAACTTTACCAAATACTTGTGACGGGAAACTCTGAGAACATTTTTTTCTCTCCTTTCAGCATATCTAACGCATTTGGAGTGCTATTTGCTGGAGCCAAAAAAAACACAAAAAAGGTAATCTATGATAATTTTTGGTTGTTTCAATAAAATATTGCCTATGCACAATTAAAGATACAGAAATGGATGATTTGATCTATTTCTGTACCTTTATTTGTACTTTATTTACGTTATCTTTTTTTGGTTGGAGGTAATTTATTTATGTTGCACTAGAGGTACACAATGGGCTATTGGAGACGGTCTGGGAAACAACTCAATGGAGGATCCGAAGACATGCCATCGCAATTTTGATCCTCTGCAGAGGGGATGACTCCCCTGATTTGGTAGCCGGACGACCTCCTCGTGAAGTCGAGCACTTTACGGTAGAACAGTTTAACGAGGGTCGATACCTACGCAGGCTGATCAAAGCAGTCACCCACCCGCTTACTTGCAGTAGACAGTGATGTTTAACCCATTCATTCTCGCTTCCGTGAAAATGACGGGTTGAGTTTTCGCTCGCTATTTCTCGCTCCCGTGATATTGACGGGCTGGATTGTTCAGTAGTAATGCGCCAATAAGAATAAAACTAATTTACTTCTTTTACCCGTAAAATTTTTTTTCTTCTCATTTTAAACACCATATAGCAGTACCAGGATATTTTTAAGGTAATTGTAAATAGTTAGTTTATTTTAAACTAGATACTAGCCCTAATCAAATACGTGTATTTGGCAAAATAGACACCCTTATAACCGTTTTCTTGAAAATTAGCCGTTCGTTAAGGGGTTAAATTCGGTGTTCTACTGGAAACCGTGTCTTTACGATCATTCCACCGCAAAACCGTTGTCTTGTGTTATTCATACATAGCCACGAGGTATACCCTGTCCTCATTTGGATACGTTTTTATCGGGGGGGGGGGTGGCAAATGCATATTTTGCGTGTGTGAGTCGAAGATAAGAACTACTTGAATTTGAAATGCTTGGAAATGAATAATTACCAATAAGTACTCAATTTAGAAAATTATTTAAATAAAAAATATTTTTGATGTATAAGAAAGATAAATAAACACATTTATTCATTTAAAGTATTTAGAAATTTAAGTTTAAACACCCTCTTTTCCTCTGTTGTTGTTGTTGACGCATGCCTGTTTAGGCAGAGGTGGTGCGATTGTTCTTGTTTTCCAGTGGCGCCATCAATGGCCAAGAAATCGATTTCTGCCACACCATACGTCGCACCTGTTTATAGGGCGGACCCATTCATGCATCCATTCATTCATCCACAGATCGTAATTTTGACCTGAATCAGAGAACGATCGATCTCCAATCCAGTACCCCCAGAGGTTTTGATTTGTTATGGGAACATGGTGGACTTTTGCGACTCGACAGATTTAACGTGCATTAGCCACTTTACTACACGGGGAGTCTTCGGCCGGTGGAGTTCGAACCCACGAACTCTCGGACATGAGCCCAGCGCCCTACTGACCAGGCTATCCCGACCCTCCTCTTTTCTTCTCATCGCAAACAATAAGTTTTCGACATGAGTAATGGGTTGTTATTCATTTTCTATAAGTTCGTATGCATACGGAAAGTTCCTCATCGTTTCAACGGCTTCGGAACCTTCCGCAAACGTTAGCTTTCGTTGTGGGTCCGTCTTTGCCGTCTGATTTTGCACTTCTTCAGCTGCTGCAATCATTTCTTAAGTTTGAACACTTTCAACGTCCTCAACTCATATTCATAAACAATTTTTGAGACGTTTTTCCCAAAACTGTATTTAATCCTCATTTTCTTTCAAGTCATTAACATTTGGCTGTTTTTTCTTCTCAAAATAAAATTTAAAAAAAAACTTTATTTTTAATTGAATATCTGTGAAATTTTTGAGCCTTAGACGTAGAAATCTGCTAGTTTCAATAAACATTCTAAATGGATATCATCAACATTTTAAGAATAGCATTTGAGAAGGTACCGTTAAACAAGACAATATAAACAAAAAAAGACAAAATAAAGAAGCGAAAATGTTGGATCTAGATTCAACTGTAATCTGAAATTAAGAATTATGGCCAACTTTCAGCATTTAGAATTGTGTGCACCGTGATGGCTCAGGGGATAGAGCGTTCGCCTTCCAATGAAATGAACCGGGGTCGAATCCCAGAGATGGCTGGTCGATACAAATTCTGCAGCCATCTCGCTCCTACGTAAAATATCCTCAGTGGTAGACAGATTATGGATTAGAGTCCCCTAGCGGTCAGGCTGACCGAGGGAGGTTCTCTTTAATTTCTTATCTGTGTAACGTAAATGCGAGTAAATTCCATAAAGTAAAGTTCTCCATAAAGGGTTGAACATTATTAGTCGTAAACCTGAAATTGGGTCTGCTATTCAAGGACTGTTATAAAATAAAAATAAAATCAGAGTTGTGTAACATGCTATCCAGTCGTCCGGAAAATTCAATCGAATTTCTGGGGAAGCCAAGTGTTTCATCGTCACCCTAATGTTGCAACCCAATCCATTATTTTGATTCCTAATTTATTGCTTCAAATACACTTACGCTACATTGCAGAGAAATAAAAAGTTAAAAAAATCAAGAAAAATAAAAGAAATTTAACGTACGCGCCGTTTACATGCGAATCTTTTTCCGGAACTTATATTTTCAGAGAATCATAAATTACGCTCATTGAAAACTAGAAACTACAAATAAAGTACATAAATTTGCAGTGCAATTCTAAACAAAACATTGTAACAAAAATAAATATAATTTTTGTTACAAGTCTTATACAGTAAAATATTGATATTTTGCCTTTCTCTTATTAAGTCCTTATTTTCTTATTTTTTTAACATATTTTTGCCATCTTTCCAGTCGTTTATTTGAAATTTCCAGCTGTACTCATTTTTCTTATTTTCCTTTCATATTCGAATTCCCAATGTTATTTTATCAGTTATGAGATAAAAACATGGTCCAAAGTAGCCATAATAAACCTTTCCCCTTTTTCACGTCTTTCCTTCCCCCCCCCCTCCTTAACCTATTAAAATTCTTGCCCTGATAATAATATTTACATTGAGTTTGGTGCAAACTAATTGCAACCGACTGTGCCATTTCATTCACCAATTTATTCAAAGAGTTTTTATCACAAACACGCAGTCTTTCTTTTGATATTATTCAACAGTTTGCAGCAATTTATTGAGAAGTTTAATGGAACTCAATTTTAATTTTTTCGACGACACTGAGAAAAAAATATTGTTAAAAAATAAGAAAACATTTTGACATTTACCGTGTTTCTGGTGCTATGAAAACGCCAAAAGGCTAGAAAATTTTTTACCAAACCGCATTGGTTAATCATTTTTGTAAAATTAACAATAAATTATGGTTTTTCAATATGCAATAAAACTCGATAAATGTAGTAACATTATCATGATATCTTAACATGGTATAAAAACCATTTTTATTGGTTATATTTAATTATCAGTTTTATAGTTTTTATAAAAGGTGTGGGAATAAGATCTATAATTTTGGGAACCAGAATTTCGGTAAACCGTTCCCATGTGATAGGAAACTGTTACCATATAAATATTCTAAATACCATTTATTGTTGTTTTACTGCCATTTATCAAAAATATCTTTAATGTAGAGTAATGTAATTTTATCCCAATCTTTTCTCTCCGTGTAATAGCTGTAATAGTACCTTTCCTTTCTTCTACATTCTTTTTTCGTTACTCTTAATCCAAAAATTTCTTGTCCTGACAGAATAGTTGCAACCGACTCTGTCATTTTATTCACCAATTTTCCAAACATTTTTTTACATTGATAGGAGCAAACAGCAAACATGCTTACAACGAAACAAACACAGTCTTTGTTTTGATATTAACCAACAGTTAAAAGCATTCTGTTGTAAAACAAGAAATATAATAAAACTCAATTTTAATTTTTTCGACCATAATTGATCAAATGGCTTTTTGAATGACAAAAAATGAACATTGCTCAAATTTTCCAAAATATTAAAGATCAATTAAATAAATCCACAGAAAAACAAAATCCTTTTTTTTCTTGTTTATTATTTTATAAAAACTAATTCACATAAGCTATACAACAATTTGTGTTAAACATTTTTAAATAGAACCACTTCAATAATGTTAATCGCATTCAATTTTAATGAATTATAATTGATTGAATTATTATAACCAATTTTTTTTTCATTGAACTGCAAAATTCATTTTTCAGCAACTCAGATCTGCTTTAGGATATGACTCAGCCAAATTGAACAGTAGCAAGGTTTCCACAGCCTTCGACCAATACCTTGAGATGGTTTTACCCCAAAACCAATCACCCAATCCTGAATACACCTTGAATCTTGCCAATGAATTACTGCTAGACGAAAACTTTATCGTCTATACCAGTTACAAAAATCAAGTACGAGATTTTTTCCACGCATATGTCGAAAATGTCGATTTTCTGGAAAATTCAGATCAAATTTTGGAAGAAGTTAATGATTGGGTAAATGAGGTGACTCGTGGAAAAATTAGCGAGCTCTTAAGTGATTTGAGTACAGAAACAAAACTTCTCATAATAAACGCTATTTATTTCAAAGGTACGTGGAAAACAGAGTTCGAAGCGAGGGATACATATTATGAGGACTTTTATAATTATGGATCAGATTCTGAAGTCAAGTAAGTTCAGTGTTTTCTTTTATATTCATTCAAAAGTTTAAATGTCGCATATTTATTAATCAGTCTTGTGCATTCTGTAAAATAAAAAACTTAGAACAGGGCAGGGTTCTAAAATTATGTTGCTCAATATGCTCGGGGCATGCAAAGGCATGTATTTTTCACTCTTACATGCCGGGTAGGGTATGTAATTATTCAAACCGTGATACCGTATCATACAGATTAAGTGCCTCTCAAATAATTAAAATCACCACAATACCGAATAAGTTTGAAGTTGAAGAAAAAAAGGGAAATTGATTATATCTGGTAATATCTAAACATTATTGAATTCAGTTACATAAATAAGAATATATTTAGAAAAGATATCTTATTCTTTTTTGCTTTCCTAGCCATTATTTTTGTTTTAAAAAAAAGACTTTACTCTAAAAGCGGCGTTTGAGAGAAGAAAGTTCCTAAAAACGTCTTAACATGTTGATATATTGAATACAAGTAGAATGTTTAAGAGTGTCTGCTTGCCGATAAACACTTAATATTCCTGAAAATACCTCATCTTCATTGATCTTAACACTCTGCATTTACTCCATCACAATTATTCGTGTTTAATACTTCCTCCTTAATAATAACTAGTACTTCTTAGTTAATAATACTTAAAATAATAGTTTTAATTTTGATTTGATATTCGGCAAATTAATAATAATTATACATCTATATTATTACTATGCAATCGAAAAAGATCTAGGGTATGTATTCAATAGACTAACATACCTGGAGATACGTGTCAGAATTTTTAGAGATCTTTTAAGATTTAGTACAGTTTAACTACGATCTGGATAAGGGATAACAAAATAGGGAGAAAACAAAAATAATTTAAGTTCTAACAAAAAAGTCAGTATACTTAGGTGTAAAAATAATATAATTACTTGATTTACTTGGTACTAAAAAGTCTTCAATGATTTGCTTTTTTAAATGATTAGGTAAAAACTGAATTTAAACATTTTCAGTTTTTTTTTCTTCAGGTCAGGGAGCACCAGTCCTAATTTCTTGGAAAACGTATACAAATTAAAAGAATTATAAAATAAGATTGCCTTCAGATTTAAATAAACTGTTAACTGTTTCTGGATCTCGGGCCAGAGGAAAACCTCCAACTAGATGGCTGGATGACACTACTAAAGATCTCAAAGTAATAAAGATAAACAACTGGAAAAAAGTCGCCATGGATGGGAGGCGTTGGAGGCTATGCGTGGTTGAGGCAGCCAAGGCCTGTAAGGGGCTGTCGTGCTGAAGAAGAAGAAGTTAACTAGTTCATTTTTTCTGACGATTTGGGCAAAGAAATTATATTGTGTTGTATAGTTCACAAAATAAAAACAAATTTAAGGATTGCATAGTCCCTTACTAAGATTAAATCTGCATGGTCTGAGTGTCTAACATAAATTACGTTAAAAAAAAAACTTTTTCGCTATTTTAAAGCACAAATTCAGACATAAAAAGCAATCTTTTCCTAAATAAACATATTTTTTTCAAGAATTTTTAGATTCTTGATCCTCTATATGCATTATGGTTGTAACCGAAATTTCGAATATGCTGCCATAGTAGTTAAACCCAAAGAACTGTCGAAAATGTGATCACCTTAATGTGGATTGTATATCCTGATGACTCTGAAACTATTTAAGTAAATAAGGAAATTTTTTCATGTATCGAAACTATTTGAACAAAAATAATTGTTTGTGATTATTTATTTTTATAAACAAAACCCAAGTGTAGTCTGCCTTAACTAATGAGAAAAAAGGTGTAAAATCTCAAAACTAGTTCAATTGTCTGATGAAACTAGTTGTTCACAATAACCACCCTTCAACACTTTTGTGTTTTTTATAACAATAAAACAGGTTTTGATGTACGTTTTGATTTTTTGAAACACGTTAAAAAATTAATTTAAACACAGTACTTACATTAACGGTCGCAAATTACATTTATATATATATATTTGAGAACACTAAAACACAAATAAATTATTATTAATTGGAAAGCAAGATTAAAAACATCAAAAATTGTTTGGTTGCGGAAATAAGTATCTAGTGGTACTTTTTTGCTTAATATATTTATTTTCGTTTCAATTTTTTTTGTGCTCCTCACTCTATTGTATTGATATATTTGGCTTTGGCTGTTACTGATACAAAAATAGAAAACAATCTTTTATGTGGATATAACAGCTAACGACGAGATTACATAGTTTCCATATTTTGCTTTCCCTCTTTTAATTTTTTTAAAATATTTCTAAAAACTTTTTATTTTTTAATAATTTTTCTTCTTGTTCAAAAAGACAATTTTCCCTTGTCTTTCTGTACTTTTAACTTATTTCAAAGGTACAATATATATATATATATATATATGCAAATGTGGAAAATAACAAATTTTAGAAAATTAACTTTGTATGGAAACATCAGGAAGTTGTTTACAAAACAGTTTTTCCCTATTAAAAACCTCACATTGATAANATAGATAAATATATATATATATATATCTTATGTTATTGTCTTTCAATTCCAGGGAAGTTCCTCTTATGCATTTGACATCGGAATTTCCTTATGTTGCTTACGATGACTTACAGGTTTTGGAGTTACCATACAAAGGAGACAACATCAGCATGATCGTTCTTCTACCACAAGATAATGATGGCCTCACTGATCTTGAACACACTATTACCTCAAAAGAAATCCTTGCCATCCGAAACGAAATGTCTAAATCCAAGGTAAAAGTCACATTTCCGAAGTTCAAGGTAGAATACAAGCGAACAATGAATAAGGATTTCTCAGCACTGGGTGCAACGGACATGTTTAACCCTGATTTGGCAGATTTCACGGCCATAACACCAAATGATGGAATTTGTGTCAGTGATATAATACACAAAGCAGTTGTTGAAGTGAATGAAGAAGGAAGTGAAGCTGCTGCAGCCACGTCTATTGGAGTCAGAGCTACTGCTGCAATTAGTGATCCACAGCCTACACCACTATTCATTGCTGATCATCCATTTATGTTTGCTATTATGGATAATAGAAATAACATGATGTTATTTTTAGGTCGTGTCAATGAATTGTAAGACGTGTTTCTACGAAGAGAGTTCTCTAATTGTATTGTTAATTGATGAATTGATCAATCATTAATTGATTGTACAACAAGATATATTTGCGTTACTGTAAGTTTATTTTGTACATTAAAGTGATAGTAAATAATCGAACATTTATTTCATTTAAGTTCTATTTACTTTCTTTCAGGGACGAATAGTCTCAGTAAACAGACCTTTAAATATAGGGTGTTTCAAAATTATGGGACCTGCAAGAAGAAATGGACGCTAACAATCTGAGACTTAGTCCTGTACTTTCTCCTGGGCCCTTGTGGGAACGTTATTGGCGAGCGAGATACATTGTTGGAGACCTATAGACTCTTTCAAATTTGTAGCTCTTGTGTCCGTTTTTTGTGCTTTCTATGTATTGTTCTCAGCTACAAATTTGTCTTTCATTTCTGCCATTAGAAATGAAAAAAAAATTAAAAACTATACCTTGAAAATGCTTTTTGAAAAACTTACAATTTTAAATTTTGAAATTAAAATAGTAAGTTCAGTTGTAAGTTTAAGTTGTAATAGCAAGTTGTAAGTAGGAAATTGAAATTGTAAGGGAACGTTATTGGCGGGCGAGATACATTATTAGAGATCTATAGACTCTTTCTTTCTTTAGCTCTTGTGTCCGATTTTTGTTCTTTCTTTGTATTGTTCTCAGCTACACAAATTTGTCTTTCATTTCTGCCATTGGAAATTAAAAAAAAATTAAAAACTATACCTTGAAAAAGCTTTTAGAAAAACTAACAATTTTAAATTTTGAAATTAAAATAGTAAGTTCAATTGTAAGTTTAAGTTGCAATAGCAAGTTATAAGTAGGAAATTAAAATTGCAAGTTAGTGAGTAATTGTTAGTAAATTTGTAAAACTGTATGAATTAGTTAGCTCAATAGAACATGTTTCAATTGAATGAAATAGAACAGAATTTATTCTGTAATTAGTTACTTAAATAACGAAATTCAGAACAGAGATTTTTTTCGTAGGTTAACATGGAATAAATAAAATCGGTTTTCTGTCTGTAAGAGACTCTAAAGAGAGGCTATATTAATCCCACCAATTCAAGATTTTTGTCATATACTCTGGTCAAAGATGAATTTGATAAAAGGCACAACATTAAAAATTAAAGAAAATATAACAATTATTAAAAAACGAATAAAAAATGCGAATACAAAAATTCTTTTAAAAGTATTTATTTAACTGATTATTCAAATTAAATTTCCTTTACAATTCCAGATTAATTATTTTTTATCAGAAAATAAATATTTTGAATTTATTTAGACATAATTATTGTTTGTATTTTTAGACATTTTAAAAAATTTTGACATCTAATTAATTTAATTATTATAAGCTGTTATAAATCCCTTAATGTTTATGTCATAACTCTATTTATGTTAGTCATACCTTTCTATCATAGTTAGTCAACCAGTCACATTCAAGCAGTTTTACAATCATTAAAAATCGTAAGTAAAAAAATAAAATTTATAATTCAACTAAAAAATAATAAATTAAACAGATTGCAAACATTATAGGCTATCAATTATTGTCAACATGGGTGCGTTATTACGTTAAAAAATAGAAAAATATTTCTGCGAAAAATGGATGAAACTTCCAATATTTACACTACACATTAAAAACTAAATAGTTGTAAGCTTTAAAACAAATTAACTTTCTCGGATTTTCATTTCAATTTTCTTGGCAATTTTGATTACATAATAGCAATTTCTTTCGAGTGAAGTTGTGTTAAAATATTTTTGAAAATTAAGTTTGATTTAAAAACAGAAATTCTTTCAGGTTATTACCTTAAATTGGTTTGATTTTTAGTCCGGAGGTAGGGAGATTTTTTCCAAATTTTACCTACTATAAAGTATTGGTCATAATCCTGCTGTGCTTGTAATATGAATTCATAAAGTTTATGCTTATGAATACAAATAAACTCAATGAGAAATGATCAAAGTAACAAATGAATAATGAACAACAGAAACTCCCATAGCTCTTATTGACCTCACGCTAACCTTTTATGTTACCCATATTTATAATTAAAAATATTTTCCTTCTTTGGTTTCCTTCTTTCTTTTTTTCTCTCTTTCAATTTTTTAAAGTTATCAACAGATGGCTGGACAAATCATGAAGTTAAATAGCATCCATTCGAGCATGTTTAGATTTAAAACCCAGTTTCTGCTCTAGTTTGCCAAAAATAACACAAAAGTTAACATTCTTAAGAGTCTTATTTTATAAACCATCTCATGAAGGAAAGCAGATGTTCTATTAATAGAACAATATCTCAAATAAAACAGTAAAACAACATTGAATGATAAAGAAAATATCGTTTCTCTGAATATCATGTATTTAATCATTAACATAAAAAAACATTATTGAAAATCTTAACAGTCACTCTTTCTCAGAATTTCTGTTAGCTAGAATTTAATTACACACGATGTCGATAACAAAATTTCCAGTTAGAAGAAGAAGATTGTGACATCAATCACAGGTGAGAAAATACTTCCAAATAGGTTTTTCCACTTGACCTTCAAACAAACAATCAAACAAAGTAGCAATACTTGAATTTTCATGTTTTTCTTGTTTTTTTTTTAATAAAATAAAAACTAACACCTAGATAAATTTATTGAATCGTTTGCAGTCAAGTAATTCTATTCGTTTTGTTTGCAAACCAGCTACGTTCTTTAAGTGTTCTTGTCTACAGATGATTGTTAAGTGTTTCGCTGATTCTTGAAAGGGTAAGAGAATATTCCTCACAATATTTTTAAAATATGTTACGGAATTCTTTCAAATCCCCATTTCTAGCCTAGCTTGACAAGGTCCATGAGATTGTTCACCTTCAAAAAGTCTAAAACAAGTAAGGGTCTTTCAATAAGGTCTTGTTTTAAAAGACCGAGGCAGTCCAGTAGATGTTCAGAGAGTGCCTGGACCGAAGAGCACTTGGTACAGAAAAAAAGACTGAATCACTCTAATTAAATAAATATCATAAATTTAAGTTAAAATGAATTTTACGGATGATGCACCTTAAGTACTAGTACTTTATACAGTAATTAGAGTTTTCTGCAGTATAACGGAGCAGTTTTACAGGAATAATAAAATTGGGTCTATAAATTAATTATAAAAACCTTTCGATAAAAAAGGGGTAAACATGATATAAAGTTTAACAGTTTTTGTTTTTATTCATTATTATTATGTAATTATTAAACGTAAACTTTTAAAGTCATTCGATTTATCCATAAAGATATTCGATAAAGTCATTCGATTATGTGGTACATTATCTGAGGAGAAATTATTTATCCATTTACACCAAGTGACCTTTTAAACATACAGTTCCTCTTTTTAAAAAAAAGGATAAAAGTGGTTACACAAGTGCTTCATTTTCAGGATTTATTTTGTAGTAACATGATCTATCATATAAACAGTATAAATATTTATATTTGGCTCTGAAGCTAAAGCACAGTGCTTTTTGAAAGCTTAATGACAGAAAATGAAAGAACTTAATTAAGGAGCTTTGATGTAAACAAACATGTACTGCTACTTTTTTCATAAATAGACTTTTTTGTGACCGGGCATTAATGTGTTAAAGGTGATGACAACAGTTTTGTTTTAAAATTGTTTATTTGCAGAATGTCATTTATCTAGCAGTATTTATTAACAAACTATGTATGGTTCTTGATAATAATTTTTTTAGCATCAAATAAATTTAGCGCTGCGAAATCACTCCCTTTGATGCTTTTGGAATCATTATCAAAAATTAATTTAAACACAGTACCTATATTAGTGGTCACAAATTATAGATATTAGAGGTCACTAAACCACAAATGAACTATTGTTAATGAGAAAAGCAAAATTAAAAGCTTCAAAAACTGTTTGATTGCGGAGGGAAACTTGGAAAAAGCATCCAAAACTGTTTGATTGTGGAGGAAAACTTGGAAGTGGTTAAATACTTTAAGTATCAGGAATCAAATTGGCTTTGATGTTTTAAGTGCGTCTCCATCAATCATTCATTCTGTCATTATGACATTAAGTTTTACTCTTGCTTAAAGATTGCGTACTGACTGGAATTGAATAATTTTTCACACCATTTATCTTAAATGCTCCTACAATATATTGAGATTTGTGAAACGGTACACCGTGTTTTCTACTGTTTTGATTCTCATAATTTTATCTCTATTCTATGAATTGTACTATTTTATTCCGTGTCTTATTGAGGAAACGATATCAATACATATTAATATAAAACACCAAATTTTAAAAAATTAACATTTTTCCTTTCTTTATAGTAGTTTTATTTATTTATTTTATAAAATAATAGTTTTGCATTTTGTTTTAATATTTTTTCTCGCAATAAACTAATTTCTGACAGAAAAACTGTCCAACATTTTCTCTTAGATATGTTTTCTAATAAAATATCCAATAACTTGAAAAAGCTAGCAGTAGCTAATAATGATCTTGGTCTGAAACTTTACCAGTTACTAGTCAAAGATACACCTGGGAATGTTTTCTTTTCTCCATTTAGTTTATCAAATGCTATGGGGATGCTCTTTGATGGTGCTGAAGGAAATACTGCTAAAGTAAATATTGTTCAAGTATTTAAGAAATAATATGTACATTTATTCTAAAAAGTGTTATTCTGAATAATTTTTTGTCTAACGAACAAATTTCACCTATTTATAGGAAGTTGACCTACTTAAAAAAATTTCATTCACCAATTTAACGAATTTTCTGAGATTCTGAGGTTAAGAGTAGATTTTGAGGTTTAGATTTTGAGATTATCAAATGAGAATACTTTTTGATGGAGGCAAAGAAAGTACTGCTAAAGTAAAAATACTTTATGAATTTAAGAAATATTGTGTAAATTTAATATAAAAGAAGTATTATTCTGAATAAAGTTTTGCTTAACGAACAGACTTTCNTACTCTAAATAAATTATTCCTAAAGTAAAAATACTTTATGAAGTTAAGAAATGATGTGTAAATTTAATATAAAAGAAGTACTATTCTGAATAAAGTTTTGCTTAACGAATAGACTTTCTTCTAATTACAGGAAATTCACCTACTTAAATTTTATTCACCAATCGAACTAATTTCTTAGATTTTGAGATTAAGAAATAAAACAATTTTTCTTAGTAAAATTATTATTTTTTTAATGAGTTTTTCGCTAAAAGAACTTGAAATGAATCATTAATTTTTCACCAAATGAGAAATTTAAAAAAAAAAAACTTTGGCTAAACCATTTCAAAAATATTTAAAAACATGCAAATAGAGCAAAGAAATAATTTTTTCCAACGTGATCATTTTCTTAACTACGATTTTTGTCTTTGACCCGTGTTCAACTGTATCATTAAATGTTGTGGATGGTCTAATTTTTTTTTACTATAGTTCGTTGCGATCGCGAATTGAGATGCGTAATTACAATACACCTTGCTTTGTTTTCCACTGTTTTGATACTCATAATTTTATCGTTATTCTATAAATTGCTCGATTTTATTCCGTCTCTAATTGACGAAACGATATCAATATATATAAATATAAAATACCACGTTTAAAAAAATTAACATTTTTCCATTTTTTTTAATAATAGTTTGCAGTTTTTTATAAAATAACAGTTTTCCATTTTTTTTAAAATATTTTTTCTCTCCATAAACTAATTTTTGACAGAAAAACTGCGCAACGTTTTATCTTAAATATTTCTAATTTTCTCTTAAATAGACTCGCTCATATTAATATAACTATTTTCATCTAACTTCTTCAGACTGAACTTTTTTTTTCACGATAATTTTTTTCTAGTTTTTTTTTTAATTTCACTTAGTACTTATCTCTATTAAGCTCTTCAATTTCATTTGCGGAAAATAACCAAAAACTGAGAGGGTTGTAGAACTCTTTAACTTACATCTGCATTCTTTAAAAGCTTAAATCTCAATAATTCTATGGCAAATAAATTCTACGAACCATGCTCGATGTCTCTTATTTATTTCAATATCTTTAAAAGAATGTTTTTCTTTGAGATAAAAAGAGATATCGTTACCTCTTTTTTACATAATTTAAAAGTAGAACATTTAAAAAATATAATACTGCATTATCTCTCCCTATGTTTCTGGCCATCAGTTAAAGCCATTTACTGCGCGTTTGAAGCATATCGAAAGCAAATAAACTTTTTCTTTTTTGTTTTTGTTTCAACTATGTTCAAAAAGTCTAAAAATTGATTTTTTTGAAACTACAATGCATACGTTCTCAAATTATATATAAAATGTTTGGACTCGTTAGGGTATTTAGATTAAACTTTTTATCTTTTTTTCAGTGTACCTTCAGAAATGATTCACAGTGTTTGGAAAAATGTTTTTCTATTTATCGCATTCAGCGTGATCGTCAACACCTCTCATGGAGCTCCTAATAAAATATCCAATAACTTGAAAAAGTTAGCAATAGCTAATAATGATCTTGGTCTGAAACTTTACCAGATACTAGTCAAAGATACACCTGGGAATGTTTTCTTTTCTCCATTTAGTTTATCAAATGCTATGGGGATGCTCTTTGATGGAGCTGAAGGAAATACTGCTAAAGTAAATATAGTTCAAGTATTTAAGAAATAATGCGTACATTTAATCTAAAAAAAGTGTTATTCTGAATAACTTTTAGTCTAATGAACAGACTTTCACTTATTTACAGGAAGATGACCAAGTTAACAAAATTTCATTCTCCAATTTAACCAATTTTTTGAGATTCTGAGGTTAAGAGTAGATTTTGAGGTTTAGATTTTGAGATTATCAAATGTTATGGGAATACTTCTTGATGGAGGCAAAGAAAGTACTGAAGTAAAAATACTTCATGTAGTTAAGAAATGATGAGTAAATTTAATATTAAAAAAAAGTGCTATTCTGAATAACGTTTTGTCTAATAAACAGACTTTCTCCTACTTTCAGGAAGTTCACCCACTTAAGTTTTAATCACCAATTAAAATAATTTCTTATATTTTGTGGTTAAGAAATAAAACAATTTTTCTAACGCTAGGAAAATTATTTTTTTTTTAACAAAATGTGTTTTTTACTAAAACTTTAAATGAATCATTGATTTTTCACCAAATGAGAAATTTAAAAAAACTTCATCATTCCTTCATCAAAAACTTCAACTTCATCAAAACTTCATCAAAATCATTTAAAAATACTTAAAAACATGCAGTTAGAATAAAAAAATAATTTTTTCCAACATAATGATTTTCTAAACTGCAACTTTTGTCTTTGACCCGTGTTCAACTGTATCATTAAAAGTTGTGAATGGTCTAATTTTTTTATTTATGCATTTTAGAATATAATTTTCAGTGGTGCATATATGTAACTTATGACTAGGAATAGAAAGGGGATTTGTAAAAGGTAAACGAAGCATTCAGACAGGTTAGATATTATTTAATGCTAAAATCAATCTCTAATCAAAAGTTCAGGAGTCATTTAGGTTTTATGGAAAAAATGCAGATTTTTTACGTATGCCTACTTATACATCTTATATCGCTTTCTAGACAAATGGAATACTGTTTTTTACGTAATTTTTTGCTCTGAATCAAGGAAAAACATAAACACCAAAACAAAGTCGATTTTTATTTAAAGTTCTTTTATGATTACGCCGGATAAGATGTCTTAAACATTGCTTTACAGACCATCATAGTATTGAATCCTATATTATGTTATACGCTAAATTTAATGAGATTAAACCCAAGTCAATTGAATGAGATCAAAACCAATTCATTTGAATCAATTGCTCAGAAATTATAAGTTTTGTAAAGTTTTTTATGTAAGTATAAAGTACACTTTTCACTGTAACATATGGTTCTTACTCTTAATAAACCAGTTCTTAATGATCAATTTGTTGGTAATCACGCACTGAAGGTATAAAAGTTAGCAGAGAAAACATTGCTTATCTTTGGTTGGTGTATGGTCACATGTGCTCGTTTTCACTTGTGCTTACTTCAATAGTGCTGTCATACCTGGTTCGACTTACTCAAGCAATCAAGGCATAATTAATTCAGTAAAAAGTTTGCCTTTTAAAAAAAGAGTTTATTATTAAATAAACATAATTTGCAAGTAAGCGAAGTAGTGCTCTTAACAAGAAGGATAGATGAGTAGTTAAGTGAAAATAAAAGTTATACATTTCATAATAAAGCAGCGCTATCCAGTGACAAAAATAATAATAAGTGAATTATTGAATTGAAAGATTAGTGATGAAATATACACCATTAAGGTCAGGTGAATTTGGGGGACAAGTCATGACTTGAAAGTCACTGGAATGTTCCTCGAACCAATCCATGACGATTCGACCCTTATGACATGGTGCATTATCCTGTTGGTAAACACCATCCCCAGCAGGAAAAACTGTTGCCATCAATGGGTGAACCTGATGTGCAACTATGTTCAAGTTGCTTACAGACGTCAGGGATTGCTCTATGAGGATTATGGGTCCTAATGTGCCCCACGAAAACATTGTTCCTGGGCGAGAAACCATGGAAACCTGGGCGAGCCCATTGCTATATAAGGAGGGTAGTCATAATGTAATGGCTCTTCGGTGTATATATTTTATGACAAAATTTCCATCTTTTGTAAAAAAAAATTTCAGATTAAGTCTTTTTTTTACTAGATTTCGTATCAAACTGTTCAATTATTATGTAACCAATACTCTAAATAAATTATTCAATTATTCACGAGATTCTAATATACTTTATTTTTTCAGCAACTCAGGTCAGTCCTAGGATATGACGCGGCTAATCTGCGCAGTGGGGAAGTTCCATCGGCATTTAATGAATACCTAAACCAAGTTCTTCTTACAAACAAGCAAAGAAAACCAGACTACGTTTTAAATCTCGCAAACGAATTGCTAGTATCCAGTAACTATGACGTGAGTTCTAATTATAAGAAAGATGTTCAAGAACAATATCATGCAAGCATTAAGGAAGTCAATTTTGAGAAAAATTCTGCTCAAATTGTAAATGATGTAAATAGTTGGGTAAGTAAACAAACTCACGGCAAAATTGATAAACTGTTAAGTGATTTAGACCCTTCAACAGCATTGCTCATACTAAATGCGATTTATTTCAAAGGCAACTGGAAAATTTATTTCGATCAAAAAAAGACAAAACAACAAAAGTTTTACAATGATGGCTTGGATTCTAAAGCAAAGTAAGTTACTTTCGTATGTATGAAATTGTAAAAATATTGCATTTTTTTATTACGTGGAGATTTCCTACTCTTTCTTGCTCCGCTCACCAAGCTCTGTAATTTGCTTTTCATTCATCACAAAGTTCAGAACATTTTATTTTCAAAATAATCAATTATTGCAGCTTTATAAAAGAACTTTTTTTTTAATAGGCCGAGATAGCCTAGTAGGCAAGGCGTAATAAATCATGAAAAATTACTTAAAATAAATCACAAAAACATTACTTAAATTTGCAATAACTTTCGAACAAATTGGAATTTTGAAATAAAAAAGCGTCAAGCTCACAAATAAAAATGACTCTTTAAGCCATCAAATTTTTACTCTGTCGTTGCATTTCAGCTGGCTACAGATCGACCAAATATGACATTTATCTACAAGTTAAATAGTTTATAGTTCTCTTACTAAGTATCGAATATTGAATATTTTTTTATTTCGTCGTGTTCTCCCTGTATTTTTTCTACAGCCCATCATAATTTCAAATTCTTAAACATTTTAGTAAATATATATATATTTTTTTATTTCATCTTATTCCCTCTCCTTCATCAACTCCTAAGACACTTGGTGGCGTAGGCCACTACGATTTTTTAAATATAGAGAGATAATACTTTTTTGATCCATTTTAGCAGTGCAGAAGCATCTTTATATCCCGAATATATTAAATTGCTGAGATTTGGAAATCTAACTAATCTAAGCTCAGCGGAGCGACAGCCCTAGAGGGCCAAGGCCCACTGTGCCCATCTCAGTTTTCTTGACCTTGGGCTCTGGGGTGCAGAAGCAGATGTTTCGGTCAGGTGGTAAGCCGAACGCGAAACCCCCAGTGTTTAGTTCCCAAGCATGCTTGGTACTCATTTATCGACCCACTGAAGGGATGAAAGACTGAGTCAACCCTGCCCAGCCCGAGGATCAAACCAGGGACCTGTGAAATAATACTGACTGTAATTAGTTTTGACATGACTCGAATTAAAAAATTATCGTTGTCACAACTTATATATAGCTTTCGTGGAGGACTTTTTGATGGAACTAACCAATATTTGCGTTATACGGAGAGGAAAACCTCCCACGGTAAGCCTAACGGCAAGGGATGATTCATGATTCGTCTACCGGTGAATATATTTTACGTGAGCACTGTTGTCGGTGCGAGCCAGGTGAGTAATCAGTTTCGACCGGTCATCGCTGGAATTCGAACCCAGCTCTCCTCATTGATAGGTGAACACTCTATCCCCTGAACCACTACGGCTCAACGGTCACAACTTATGATGATCATATGTTCTCCATTGCTCCTCAAACAAACCAAGAAACGACATTGATGAGATGAGCCAGAGGTTAGAAAAGCCATCTTCCAGTGTGATAAGTACATATAGTGAGCCAGAGGTTTGGAAGGTCTTCTTCTACTTAGTATTAACAAAATAAATGAATATCAACATAATGTATCCCCACTGAAAATAATCTGAAACAAATCTAAAGGTATTTGTCTCGCTCGTTAAGTCTACTTTTTCTAAAAATTAACTAAAGATTTTATTTCAACAGAAAATCTTTAGAATCAATTCTCTAAATTTTCTGCTAAATTCTTACAGGAATTTCCAAAGACTGCCATCTATCATAAGAGGAAAAAAATACAATACTTTTTTTGTGTTAAAGAGACGTGTGGTGCTGCCATCTATAAGTAGATGAAAGTTTCATAATCGAAAAGTCTAGGGACGCTGGAAACTAAAATGAAGGAAATGTTGTGTCAACACCTGGAAGCGAACCCTCGTTTAGCCGGTCATATGATTGACAAATTTGTCCTCTTGGCTAAAGTATGCACCCAGCAGCATGGAACTCAGTGGCTTCATAAGATGTTCCTCACGCTCTTATTCAGAATAAAAATTTCCTAAATTTTATCCGAATATTTCTGATGATAAGATTATTAAAAATCTGCATATTTGAAATAAAGAAAATTAATTTANAACATAATGGACTCAAAAGTCTTGAAGACAGTATTACTCAAAAACAATTCTTACATATACAGAAACAACTGCGTACAGATAAAGTAATAATTACGTTCCCGAAATTCAAAGTTGAATACAAACGAGAAATGGCACCAGACTTCAAGGAATTGGGCGCAAAAGACGTCTTGACTCCTGGACAGGCAGACTTGTCGGGCATAGCCCCAACGAATATGCTTTACGTCAATAGAATTATCCATAAAGCAGCTATTGAAGTAAATGAAGAAGGAAGCGAAGCGGCAGCTGCAACAGGTGTTGAAATTGTACCTTATTCATTTCCGCCTCCACCTACACTAGAGTTTACAGCAGATCACCCTTTCATGTATGCTATTATTGATAAAAGGAATGGCATGATATTGTTTTTAGGACGTGTTACTGAATTATGAACAATTATTTTTATAAAATAAAGTACTTGGTTTCACATTTCTAATTATCATTAAATAAACAGAATTTGTGATCAAATACATTCAGATTTCATTTATTCATCTATACTTCTACTGAACTTTCTTGTTATACCTTAACACAAAAAGAATGAAATAAAACATTCAAAAACATTATATTTATGCGAACAAGTAGAAAAAGTAGAAAATAATGGCGAAAAAGTAGAAAATAATTTCATATTTGTCAGTCCTAAAACGCAGGACTTTTGGAAAACGTGTGGAGAATGTTTGGAGTTTTCTGCTCCAACGATTTTCTTTTTCGGTATGACAAAAATATAATTATTTTCTTCTTTTTTTAGATCTACTTCAAAAAATTAGTTTTTTTAGTTATTTTTTTTTCTTTTGAGTGTCTTTTACTTTGTTTAAGCTGGAAAGTTCTTGAAATGGTGATGTTTATATTCAAATACTTTCAGACTTTATTCATTGACCTACATTTTTACTCTACTTTTTATGATACTTTAGCACAAAAATAATGAAATAAAAAATTCGAAACCAAATAAGAAATTCAAAGAAATTTAAAACCCAAAAAATTCAGAATCAAGTGAACTAACTGCCTCAACGTGATCAAAGGCAAGTAGCCATCAGTGAGATATTTTTGTTTTAAGCAGAAATTGTGGGTTAATATGGGTAAGTGTAAGAATGTGACGGAGTGGTAAAAAGGGACAATTGTCTTTGGCTATGCCCGTGGTCATAAGGTAAATGAAGTTGTTGAATTTGTTATAGCATTTCGATGCGGACTGCTTAACGTGTCTACAGGCAGTGGTGTGATGCACGTGTTCACGAAAGAAGACGTCAGAGCTGTGGTTGGAAAATTATCTTGCATAAGAGGGATCAGAGACGTGTTTTACGATTTGTCAATCAAAATTACGTCCAAACTGGACTAGAATTGCTTCTGTTAGTGAATGAAAGTGCATCCCAAACTGTTCGCAAGAGAAAATTGCGACGGGAGCTGCATACAATAAATATTTCGAGTCGAACACCTCAAGGCCATTGCTCACACAGGTTAATAAAGTTATGAGAGTTCAGTGGGCTGGAAGTCAACGAACGTGGACTGTTGCTGACTGGTGGAATATAATATGGTCTGACGGATCACATTCTTGCATCACATTCTTGCCTTTATTCAAATGACGCACATCGTCGAGTGCAACAAGAACTAGATGAAGCATTTCATCCTGACTGTGTGCAAGGTCAGGTTCAAGCCGGGGGTGGGTCTGTCATGTTTTGGTGGTGTTTTTCTTATTAGGGGTTGAACCCTCTCACTGAGGTGGCTACTAACATGTACCAACATGTTTATTTGAACATTCTGGATGATCAGGTTTTATCTTTCAGTCAACATCGTCATGAAGAGCATGCTGTTGATGCCCATCTTTTTCAAGAGGACCACAGCAAAGTTCATCTGGCTGAAAGAATGTCCAATTTGTTTTATGAACACTAAGTCGTTTAATTACATCTCGACTGGCCTGAAAAATTACCTTACCTGAACCCCAATGAAAATTGGTGGGACATGTTGGAACAACGGGTAAACCGCCGAATTCAGAAAATATCCGGTTTGACTCTTGCTTCTCGACCAAAGAGATTTTCAGGGGGTGAGCTGAAAAATGATTGTATATAGATACCCGCCTGCTGATCTCATATATATATATGAAGTGCGGGGACGCTGGAAGCTAAAGAAATGAAGGAAATGTTGTGTCAACACCTGGATGCGAATCCCCGTTTAGCCGGTAATATGATTGACAAATTTGTCCTCTCTTGGCTAAAGTATGCACCCAGCAGCATGGAACTAAGTGGCTTCATAAGATGTTCCTCACGCACTTATTCAGAATAAAAATTTCCTCAACTTTATCCGAATATTTCTGATGATAAGATTATTAAAAATCTGCATATTTGAAATAAAGAAAATTAATCTAAGTTGAGGTTTAAATCATCAAAATAATTTCTCTATTTTCAGCAAAATTAGGCTTAAAAAGCTGGTCAAATACATTTGGATTTTATCGTTTACAGAAAATCTCCAGTATGATTTTTTTCCTGTAAAATATAGGCTAAAAAAATAGGATAAATACCTTCAGAATTTATTTTCTTTACAAGGCTTGAGAAATCAGTACGTATACAAATCTTCATAGATTTTTCTTAAAAAACTTGCGCTTACACATGAAGGTTAAAAGATATATTTAATTTTACGTTAAAATGTTTGAATTATTTTTTGATTTTTTAATAATTATGTTATGTTTTTATATTTCTTTTTATGTTAAATACATCAAAAAATAAGTAAGAGTATCTCCTAGTATCGTGGAAAATACTATAATTTTAATATCATCAGCTTTATTATAAACTAAAATAGAACGTTTAATCTTTTCATTCGTATTAATTGCATCGGTATTTTTATACTGAAGAAATATTTGAAAGATTAGTTTCATCAAAAAGTCTTCCACAAAGGCAAATTTCTCCCAATACTTGATCAGGGAGTTTCCTTGTCTTTTGGATTGGATTCAAAATTACAAGGTACGAAGTTGAACATTGGAAGCTGTAGACTCATAATTG